TTTTTGTGAATTTCACGGTACTTTGTGTTGTTTTTACCTTTGTGTTTCCGTCTTTCGTCCATCATGTCGAGGATCTCTTGTGTCATCCACTCTTGTTTTTTGATTTTATCCTTTTGCAAATATTTTTCACAATTTGCTTGTTCAGAGTTTTTGAATTTATCCCATTTGTCCTGTGATTTACTCGTGTTCTTGTTGATTTTCGGTCCCCTCTTTCGTTTCTTTCACCGAGTCCGAAATCCCCTGTGGTACCTGGCACACTGCCTCGTCCGACTTTGGCGTTGAAGTCGCCCATTATGATGCTTATCTCCTGTTTGTTCGTCATCTTAATCAAACGTTCTAGTTGTTCATAGAATTCTTCAATAACGGCGTCGTCTTTGTCGGCGGTTGATGCATATTTTTGAATGACATTGACCTCAAATGGGGTGGCGTGCAGCTGCAGGAGCATCATTCTGTCTGAGAAAGGTGTGAAGGATCTAACGGTTGGTTGGATACGTGGGGAAACAACTATGCCCACTCCGTTCCTATGTTGTGAGTTGTCATTGCCAGAGTAGTATACTGTGTGGTCAAGTATCTTGCATTGTCCAGAGTCGGGCCAGTGAGTCTCACTGACGCCCATAATGTCTATATTCAGCCTATTCGTTTCTTTTATTATGTTATGGGTTTTTCCGCTTTCGTACATACTTTGTACATTCCATGTAGCGATTTTAACCTGTTTTGGGGTTATTTTTCTGTTTCTCATGTAGTCGGGTTTTCGCATGTTCACGACCAAAGAAATATCAATTTCTAAAAACAAAAATCAATCTATTAACAGGAATAATTAAATATGTTGGTTAAATAAAGAAAATGACGTAATTTACCAACGCTGTTGATTCAGAAATTACTACCCAGACAGCACGAGACGTCTCTAAGACGTCTTCTTTATGCCGTTATTATGTCTGAACGTCGCTGCAAGACGTCTTGTTAATGCCTGGCACAAGACGTCTTTTAAATGTCTACTACAAGACGTTTTGACGAACTTGCTCGAGTGCATCCGATTGCAGTGAAAACATTTAATTTCGTTTATTAATCGTCTATTGGGGTTAGTTATACACTGTGTTTAGCTGTTTAGCTTTTTTTAAATTTGTAAATTTACGATTTATACAGAACCGAACATGAAGCGAATATGTGCAAGTGGTAAGCTAAACAAACATCATATATATATGAGGGGCCACCGAAAGACAGAAACTTTACAATTCAATCAGTCAATGACAATAGTGAGTTTTTATGGCATTATTCGGATCCTGATTCCATACCAGACGACAATGAATTTGAAGGTTATCCTACTTATAATAGTTTTATTAGTAGTAGTAGTAATAACTCATTTCAAACAAAGTTGGCAGAATTGGCAATGAAGACGTTCAAGACGTCTTTAAGACATCTCTTCAAGACGTCTTCATTTGTAACAACAGACGTCTTGAAGACCTATATAGACGTCTTTAAGACGTCTTTAAGATGTTGCGCTGTTTGGGTAAGAAAATATTGACTAAGTACGCAACTAAATCTTATAGTTTTGATATTATTGAAAGGACATTTTTCCTTAACTTTTATGGAACTGATCTTAAGTGATTATTTTTATTCACCAATAAGGCTGTCATAAAATGGTCTGTAACTCTTCTGTAGTGCTCCGGGACAAACTGTTTTAATTCTTGGAGGTGTTGGAACTTATGAGATTTAATTTTTAGCGTTTTAGTATACAACGACGGAACCGTGATATCAGTGTCTTAATTTTTTTGCTTACGCCATGTAAATTCAGTTCAATCGTCTTCATAATTCATTTCAAATTCAATGGCGCCATCAACTAGATATGCTAAACATTTAGATCAGTTACTTTTGAATCATGAGTCTTATTGCGTGTAC